ATGCCAACTTAGCCCCATCCCCCGCCCCAGGCATTTACACCTTGGCGGGACCCCCGGGGAGCCCGTGCACGGGCACCCCATCCTCGGTCACCCCCACCCTGGCAGCAGCTCTGCGGGGTGCTGAGCACCACGGGGTGGGAGAGCCCCAACCCCTCTGGGGATGCACAGGGGACCTGTGCAGGGCAGGGACAGGGGGCTCACCTTGTGGCTTTCCAGTCATCCTTGATGTTGTCCACACGTGACCGAAGGAGCCACATGGTCTTCAAAACCTCCTTTCCCTCATCATCCACAAAGCACTGGCCCGTGAAGACAGTAATGGAGTCTGTGGGAACAGGGCAGGAGGTGGAGGGGGGTGTAGCCAGGGCTGCAGGACAGTGCCGAGCCCCCAGTACAGGGGACAGGAGACCAGGGCTGTCCCTGCCCTCTGGGGACAGCAGTGATGGGGAAAGCAGGCAGGAGGGCTCAGACGGCCTGGGGTCTTGCCTGGAGATGGGCAGGCAGCAGCAGGCTTCAGCCCCCAGCACATGCTCTGTGCCCTGGGACTGGGAGGTGACACCAGCCAAGGAGCTCCAGGGTCAAGGACAGGGGAAGGAAACATCAGGGACACCCAAGGGGATGGGGGAGCACTGGGGACACCACAAGAGATCATCAAGGGTACTGCAGGGAAGGGCAGAAAGCACCAGGGACATCACAGGGAGGGCAGGGGAGCTCTGGGCACACAGCAGGAAGGCTGGGAAAGGAGAAGCACCTGAAAATTTCCAGTTGACAGTGAAGCCAAAGGTGGGCTGGCTCTTCTGGTTCGTGCGATGCTGGGACCCCTGCAGCGGTGACACCTGAATCTCATTTGTGGTGGCTGTCACAGCTGTGTGGTAGGAGCCAGCAAATTCACCTTTTCTGTTCAAATCCCCGATGGTCATGTTGGAGCCCAGGTCGTTGATCCAGAGCCCAGTCAGCGTGCACTGGAGTGGAGGGGACTTTGAGTTGGTGCTGCAGCACAGCCCAGGTGCACCCCCAGAGCCACAGCCCCTCTGCCCACCCTGCCCAGTGCATCCCAGACCTGCCGTTACCTTTCTGTCAGAGAGGCCCTGAGCCACCAGGGCCAGGCTGAGCACCAGGAGGAAGGGAGTCACTCGCACCATCTCTGCAGGGGGCAGACAGCTGGCGTACCTGGGGATGTGCTCCTCGCAGGGCTCTGAGGATGTGCCTGCTCTCTCGCCTTTTTATTGCTGCCAGGGCTGTGGGTTACAGCTCATGCCAGGACATTGTGCAATCTGGGTGGTTCTAAACTTGCATTTCCCAGTTGTCTGAGAGTGTTAGTTGCAGGCATATATTCCCAGAAGCTCCTGCTAAAACTGTCCCTCCTTACTCACACTTCCCCAGCACCTCCCGGGGAGGCCCCAGCTCACGCAGGTTGGTGACTGCCAGGAGAGATGCTCAGCTGGGGAAACCCCTCTTGGGGGCTGTTGTCTCTTCTGCCACCCATGTGTCACCCCACTGCCATACCCAGTGTGCATAGGGGTGCCAAGCAGCCTTAACCCCAGTGCACCCCAGGATCAGCTGCAGCACACAGCCTGACCCTATCCTCACCAGGTATCCTTGTGCAAACCCACCCAGCACCGAGCTCTTTTAAGGGGCTTTGCTTACCACCCCACCCTTGTTCTGAAGCAGCTGCAGATCAGGCTACAAAGCACCGGGTCTCCTCTTGCCCAGGGCTGGCATGAAGTTTGCTGCTGTTTTTACAAGCTGGATTTTGTTGGAGGGAAATTGTTTTGTTTATGAAAAACAGACATTCTTCAAATATCTTGAATGTCGCATTTTAATGCTGTAAAAAATTTTATTTACACAGGGATTTTCAAATAAATTTAAGTATGTATTTATGTAATTCCCCTTATGTTATAGCTGTTGTTGGCCAGAGAGGCTGAAGTAGCTCAGTTCACATCAGATTTTCTCACCCATTCCTCAATGATTTCTAGGGCAGTGTCCTTAAATATGTGTGGTTTAATTCCCCCAGTCATCACAGCAAGAGCTGATGGAGACCTATTCACAAGAAAATGCTTCTTTTCTTAAAATGGAGACAAGGCAATTTTTGGCAACATATTTCCCAAATACTTTAAAAATATTTCTCAAATTTTGCTTTCCTTTTTATTTCACATTTGAACCCCAGTTTCTCTCTGACAGTAAAATTCATCTCTACCCGAGCTGGGCAGCACTGAATTTCTGCTGATGGCATTTTAACACCCCCGCTTTCTTCTCTGCGGGAGCCCTACAGCCCTCTCATACCCCTACCTACAAAGACTCCCCCGCCAGATAGCTGGCTGTCCTTGAGAAATTCTTGCCCCAATGTTTGCTTCCTTTTATCTTAGAATATTTTCCTACACAGCTCCTGTTTGCTTTGGTTGTTTTGGCTGCAAGCAAGTACTGCCTGGAGTATGCTCAAGGTTTGTGATAACAATTAAGGTCTGTTTGGGAAGTTTGTAGGGAGCAGGAGGGGCAGCCATCACCCTCTTGCCATCACCTTAGTTCAGGGATCTTCTGCAGAGACACTGTGGCCATTGGTCGGCACTGGGAAGGGCAACCCAAGGTCTCTGTGCTGGCACTGCTGCTGATGGCAGCCCATAGCTCATTTACAGACAGATTTATTTTAGCATCACACCACCAATATTAGTGCTACCTGCTCATAATCTTCATTTGCCTTGCATTTAATAATCCCTGTTCCAGTGGCATATCTTGCAGGTGCAGGGATCAGCTCAGTGCTCAAGCAGACAGATTTCTTGACCAGTGTCAGATGAGTCTAATATAAAATAAGCCAAGAGCTGGGGTATCTCTGACGGGTTTGCACCCCCCCAAAGGGCAGCCAGTGAAGTGTCTCAGGGCTGGCAATAATTACCACAGCTAAAATTCTGTGATGCCATGCCTGAGTCCTGGCACAGCAGGGAGCGAACAAGGGGGAATGTACAGGCAGGGAAGAAGTCAAAAGTTGGTTTAAACCCATGTACATCAGGGGTCAGAAAAGGGTTAATGAATAATTAAACTTGCTGCTTAAGTTGGGATTGAGTCAGCCTTGAAAAACAGTAGTACAGGCAAATGCTACAGAAAATAATATCTCTAACTAAGGATTGTCCTCCCAAGCCACAGCTGTGCTCATGCAGAAGCTACTGAAAGTTGAGTGTATCAGATACAAGTTTTACTGAGGTGATACAGTCAAAAGAGGACAAACGAGCAGAAATATCCCTTGGTATAGACTGAATGCCCTAACCTGTGACAGAAAGTCTGCAGGCAGCCTAGCGCCTGGGGTTAAGGAGCGATGCTGACAGGTTGCAGCAATAAAATCCAGCCTGGTCAGATGTTGTGCCGGCTTTGATACCTGCTTTTGTCCCTTGCCAGCTGGATTGGGATGCCACCATCCCCAGTGGCTGCCAACACAAAACAAATGGAGGTGAGCAGCCCAGGCAAGCCGTGCTGGTGTCCTGGCACCCCCATCTGCCCCTCCAGCCTCACCACAGTGACCCTAGGGGAGAGCACCTCGGTCCCTCTCCATCAGCTGTGGGCTCTGCCATGGGAACCTGGCACCAGCTCCTCCAGGCAGGGGTCACATCCGGGACAACCTGCCCTTCCCGGATAACATTATTCTTCTGACCAGCCAGATGCAGTAACACTCCCCCAGGGAGCAAGGAAAGGCCATTTATCACCCACTGGCAGCACCAGGCCACCACAGCAATGCCCTACCTGTGCACCAGCTCCCAGGGCAGACAAGGGCTGGGTCGGGCAGGGGAGGAAAATATGACAGAGAGAGGTCATGGGGGGGAGGACAGCCTCCTTTCCACCCCAACCCTGAGGGGGTTTAAGGATTAAGGGAGGGCTTTAGAGCAAAAAGCTGTGAAGCAGGCAGAAAGACCTTGTAGCTAAACCTGGGGGCTGGGCTCCCTCCCCGCACCACACCATCAGGCAGGAACAGCCTTTAAATGCTGTACTGGCAGAAAAAGGAGGAAATGGAAGCAAAGCACCCAAGCCTGTCTGGGAAGGGACATGATTTGGTCAAGGGCCAGGGTACTGCCTCTCCCCCCAGAGGCATTTTCAGGAGGAATGCTCAGCTCCTTCCCTTCCCCTGCCTTGTAGGCAAGAAAGGAGACAACAAAGGTGTAGGTTTCACCTGCCCTCCCATGCTGGGGGGAAGGCAAATCTTGGTCCCATTAGCAAAACGCTGCCAGAGGAGACTGCAATTAGCGCCTGCCCCCTTCCTGCATCCCTAGCCCAGGAAGGAAAGGGGGAGCAAGATTGGCTCCCTCCTCCAGCTTACCCCCATAGCAGAGAAGACACACAAGAAGGATAGACAGCTGGACAAATTTATTAAGATATTAAAATGATTCATCCTCTAAACCACGCTCCACTGTCCATCCCCAGCACCAGCAGGGAGGCGTGTCACGGTACCAGACCAGGACCTGCTGCTTGGGCTCCGATTGTCACCATCTGGGAAGCCGAAGTTCCCCTGGGGATTGTATCTGCCTAAGGCTCTCCTGGGGCTGGTGCCTTGGGGTAGAGCCAGTCTGTATTTGCAGTGTCACCCAAGGGAGCAACAACTGCAGCATCCATGTGCCTGCACACACCAGTCCAATGCCCACACACACACAGACACACACAAACACAACTTTTTGCCTTGCAGACCAGCTCCCACCTTCCTCAGCCTGCTGACTGCAGGAGAGAAGGCTCCTGTGCCCCTGGGCAAGGTACCAGCTCCAGTGGAGGATGGCTGGGGGTCCGGCAGGCTGTCAAAGCCCTGAGTGATAGGGAAGGGGAGGCACAGGCTCCAGCAGCACCTCCTTATCCCACTCCTCTCCGAGGAGACATCACCTGCACCTCTGGTTCCCCCTCATGCTCAGCATCAGTGGCTGGAAGCCCCCTGAGGTGAAGGGCACGTAGTGGAGGTAGGGAAGGAAAACAGCACTGTGAATATTATCAAAGAGGGGGAGGGAAGAGTCCCTGCCCACCAGCTGAAGCCCCCCCGCCCTGCTCACTACCCTCCAGACTCAAGGGTGGATGGGGACCTGGGGAGGTGGTGCTGGTGCCTGGCCAGCTCTGCGCTCCAGGGCCAGCTGCATGCTCCAGATGCTAAGGGGCCGCATGTAAGCCAATGAGCGGTAGACTTTCTTCTCCCGATAGGCCTCTGGTGTCTGAAAAGCCATGCCCAGCCGCTCCCAAACCGTTCGGTAGCAACCCTCCGCTGTACGAAAGCCTTCCTCCACCAGCCCCTGCAGCAGAGTGAAGATGACCATCAGCCTATCCACAGAGTGCAAGAAGATGGCAAGTGTTGAGGGGTGCAGCATCACCACTCACCTCCTGGATCATGGTGGCAGCCAAGGCATAGACCACACCGATCCACACCTCATTGGACTGCACGCTGGAGGTGTCGGGCACCCCATCAGGTCTCATGCCATTCACCGCTCCCATGGTGCCACCAGCAAAACTCATGACATTCTTCTCAAAGATGGTCTTGAGCGCACTGACAACATGGCTCTTGCGGAAGACCTGTGTGGAGAGAAAGCAAGAGAGGGCTTTGGGCTCAGCACTCATGCAGATCCCTCAGGTCTCCATGAAGCAGGGTTAAGTTTTCCATGAAAGAGAGGTCAACACTGCTCATTGGGTAAATAGCTGCCTCAGAAAAATAACAGGATGAAGTGAAAAAGTCTGTTTCCCAGAAGACAGAAGTAAAAAAAAAAAAGCAATTGCTCAACAGAAGAGATGCTGAACTTCATTTCACCTTTCTCCTGGGGAGGCTGATAGTTCATCCAACCACTCTGTCTCCATAAACAGCCTTTCACTTTCAGTCACTGGCCAAACCCCCACATCTCTTTGGAGTTCACTTTGGGGAACTGGACAACCACACCATCCTTACCTTGGTTTATAGTCACCATTGCTCATTTCTCAGGCTAACAACTATAAGGCCCAGAATTTCTCCTGGTAAGACCACTGTACTGTTCTCACAGCCCTTCTGCACCAGCTACAAGATCCACTGCAACACCTACAAGAGATGGGACATAGGCCAAAGGTGGCTAAAGGAAGGTCTGGGATCAGTGAGGCTAGAGGTACCTTCCTGCCAAAGGGAAAGATCATGGCAAAGCTGGTCTGATGACATCAGAATGCACATTGCAGCTGCAAAGTGAATGTTGTGGATACTGGTATGTTTGTTTGAGTAAATGCTGAGAATCTTTTTAAAAAA